TGGAGAGCTGAGCTGTCAGTCTCTCACGTTCCTTGATCACATTTTTATCTGAAAATGTTTTGAAGCAGTCTAGAATCAAAACAGAACCTATGTATCTCAGGTAGAAACATGTTGACCGGCAGCGAATCTCTAACATTATGTACACTGGCAACCTTCGGTAGATACCTATCGTATGAGCTATTCTTTTGTTCTTATATATTTAGTTACTATTTTAGGAGAGAAAATAATTTATTAAAAAGAAAAAAAAAAGAGTGGAGGGAATATTTTCTGTTACATAAAGAAAAAAAAGTCATTTTTGGAAATTAAGCTTTCAGCTCCCTAATCTTCTAGGGGAATACTTACTATCTGAAAAAAAAAAGATAGGTGTCTTTTAGTCTTAGGGGGGTTTAGCAACAAACCATTATTGTTTGCAGACTGGGTCTTTTGTGAGAAGGCAAGCTGCCTTAATGACAGCTTATGCAATAGCAATCCATGATATAGTACTTACCTGGATGTAGCAACAACTGTGCACTAAGCCAAGAAGAAGGGGGAAAAAGTCAGTATCTTGTGCGTGAGAAGCTTGTAGATCCCCTGGGGTGACTTCATATAATTCTAAAATAGCAGGTAGCTTCTTGCATAGCTAATCAAGGCATCAGTGCCCGGAGCAAGTGGAGGTGGCTGACAGTGTACTTTGGTTTCAGGTGCATTCAGCTCTTTTTGAGTGATATGAGCTTAATTCATGTTCCAGTTTCTATACTGAAAGTTTATGCATTCTGATTTGGCAAAAATCCTCTCCTGTTACCTGACAGCTCTATGCTTTGATAAAGTTGTTGACCTTAACGTGTTACTTAGATGTGTTCATCGCATGCAGTGAGAAAGTTAGTATAGCTGAATCAAGGGAACAGTTGTTTTTTGTTTTGTTTTTAAAGCATCTGAGTTATCCCACCACACCCCACCCCAGTTCCATTCATTGCTTAGCAAAAGACACAGGTGGCTTACCTGAAAAACTTGAAATACACAGTGTGGGTAAGTGGCAAGAGCTGAAAGAGGAGGGAGTCATCCTGGGTTTGTCAAGTAGGTGGCTTATTTCTGGAGAAAGCAGTCCTTGGGTCAGAATGAAGGTCAGGGAGTGACAACCTGAGATACATGTAATTGCTGGTGCCTTGAGGTTTTTAAAAGAAAGTCGAATATTAGCAGGAGGCTTTGGTTTGTCCCTTTGCCTATCCGAAGGTCTTCTCTGACTCTCTCTGGTGCAGTGCATGGAGGAAATGTTTTCTCTTCTGCACTATTGGCCATGCGCTGGGCAATTATTGGCATGAAGAGAACCTGCCTTAGAGAACAGAAGGTTTGGAATCACACTGACTGCTTGCGTGCTCATGAACCTACAAGTGGAAACTACATGTGCAAAGAGCCCATAATTTCACTCTAATAGATATTTAGCAGCTTAAATGAAATAACAAGGAGTTCATTCACCCAGGCGCCAACCAGGAAGATTTGCTGGGTATTTTGCATTCCACTCTTTGAAAGGAAAAACATGATTTTTGATACTTTCCCAAGATATATGAATATTTTGGTATGCAAAGCGATAATACATAGCATACCTTTAAAATTAGACCAAATTCTGTTTGGCCAAGAGGATTTATTGCTGTCACTATAATGAAGGCCAGTCAATCAGTTTGAATTTTTCTTCTAAATCAGTTGATTAGAGCTTGCTCAGGCAGCTACTTGCTTTCATGCTTTATTTGTTCATATGCTGCTCGATTTTCTTGTGCTTAACTGAAAGGCGTGTTACAAACAAAAATGAACACCATAAATTGCTACTCTCCGTGCATTTCTCTTTAATCTCTGGACCCCAGCTCTTTCATAGATGGTTTGTGGATATCATAGTCTTCCTTTCTAGCTACTCAAAATTCAGTGGGTCACAAGAGAGTTCATTATCCCTCGTCCAATCTCATATTCCTTCAAGTCAGTCCTTTATGTCTTTTTTTGATCTGCTACTGGCACATCCATTTAGTGCCTCCGTGTGTTGAGGAACCTGCCACATCAACAGGACGATAGTATACTGGTTACCTTGGCAAAGCACTCCTTCTCTGCCGGCAGAGCAGAGCAGGGTAAAATCATAAAATCTGGTTTGTGTTTGGTATATGACTTTGCAGTTACCAGTATATAATACAGGGATGATAATAAGATTTTTTTTTAAGTCAGAACATGAAAATATGGTGCTTAGCTTGGTGTTTGGTGCTCAATAAATGTCAGTTAATATGAGTGTCCACTGGCCTTCCTGCCTCTCTATCTCATTTTCCCCACATCAGTAAAATTCTCTTCCTTTTACAAGCACCCCTGACCAAGCTCTTGAGCTCCTTAGAGGCCCCCAGTCACCACCAACCCTGGTCTTTGCACACATTCAAAGTCCTTCCTGCCATTCCTATACACACCCAAGTCTCCATGCCTACACCACGCCTCCCAGTCTCATTAGATGTCTGGTGCTGTCCAGCCGGCTCTTGCCCCCATGCCTTTGGTCACTATCTGCCCGGAACTCCAGTTTCTTTCTCTAACACTTGTCAAAATGATATTCACCCCTGCAGGTCCTGTTCAAATGCCACCTCTCTTCAGAAACATCTTTATCTAAATAGGTTCTGAAGTCTTCCCTGGCCATCTAATTACAATCAATTCCTTTTTTAGCACAGACTCACAGCATTTTGCTAGTATCTTTTTTTTTTTTTTTGAAAGATTTATTTATTTATTTGAAAAGTAGAGTAACAGACAGAGATGGAGAGGCAGAGAGACAGAGAGGACCTTCCATCTGCTGGTTCACTCCCCAAATGGCCGCAATGGCTGGTATCAGGCCAGGCCAAAGCCAGGAGCCTGGAACTCCATCTTGATCTCCCTCCTGGGTTCAGGGGCCCAAGGGCCTGGACCGTCTTCTGCTGCTTTCCCAGGAGCGTTAGCAGAGAGCTGGAATGGAAGTGGAATAGCTGGTACTAAAACCAGTGCTCCTACAGGATGCCAACATTGCAGGTGGTGGCTTAACCAGCTGCACCACAGTGCTGGCCCCACTTGGCTTGCATTTTGAGTTAGACTTGCTCAACTGTGTTTTGTTCGAGTTAGTTGCTCATAACTCTCTTCTTAACGTGCTTCTGAACAACTCCAGGGCAGGAACTGTGGCCTTTTAAAATCTCAGAATCCACATAATGCTTTGTCATGATATACTTGTACAATCCATAAGTGCTTTAGAATCGAGTTGAAATTGAATACTAGATGGACAGGCTATAAAAATGGATGAGTGAGCTGGGCCCACTGCTCTGGGTACGGCTATTACAGAGCTTAGGAAGTATGCTGCTGGTGGCATACGAGTGTAGGAAAGTGAGAGGCTTGGAACTTCGCAATTTCTCTGATTCCCAGCATCAGGGCTTCTCCTGGATGAGAGAGCAAACACGACATGAGCTGTCACTTGGGCTCACACTGAGAAGTTAACAGAGATTTCCTGCTCTACAAAGAAAGCGGGGAGAGGGTCACTTCTACTTCATATATAAATCCTCAAAATGTGGGTCTTGGCCCATTCAGTGGTGAGATCCGGGCAGGGAAAGCTGAACTTTGTCTCTGCCTGGGGGATGAATAAGAGGTGTCCAGATTTTACTGACATTACCTAGGAAGCCAATTCCAGCATACAAGAGAGACATGTTGTCTCAATGCCTGAGAAAGTTCCCTAGCTGAACTGATAGGAAAGGTGTTCAGAGTGTCTGTGGTGAAGATGCTACCCACCTACTGAAGCCTTGCCCCCCCCCCCCCCCTTGGCTGACAGAGGTCAAGGCTGGGATGCACCTGCCTACCGCAGGACTGCAGTGTCAAGCTTCCCTTGCAGCCAGGTCTTAGGCAAAGTAATATACTCCCAAGAGAGGTATGCGTGCCTGTTGCCACCCACTTCTTAAAGGAAAAACTCTGGTGCTCAACCCATTCTTTCTTCCTCTTGCTATTGATTGAGAGGGAAGCCCTTAAGCTGACTGTTGGTAGCTATAAAGCTATCACCAAACATTTATTGAATACTGATTATATGTTAAGCCCCGAGGGAGATAAAGATGTGAATGAATGTTTCTCAGTCTGTATCTTTAAGGAGTCTATAGTCAGATTGAATGGGGAACAATGCTAATAATAAAATGAACTGCTGGAGGCAGGCAATTTCTTAGGACAGAGAGGATGGATATGCACTAGCACAGGAAGATTACTTTTGCTGACCATGATGTCAGACCTGAGAGAGTTCTGGGGATCAATCAGATTCAGAAAGAGGTAAGGAAGCATACCAGATGGGCAAGTGCAGCAGTGCGTGTTTTGAGATTGGTAGGGGTGATAGTGAACCCGCTAATTTGGACACATGAAGCAATTAGCTTGTAGCAGGAAGCATGGAAGTTACCTCTGGAGAAGCTGTCGGGATGTGACTGGGAGAAGTCTTGAATACCAGACTGCTGGGAAACATTGCAGCCAAAGAGGCACTGTCTATTGTAGCATCTTTGCCTACAGGAGTGACCCTTTCCGGGTGAATGTAGTCACCCAAGCACACTTTGTTTGTTCACAGATCTGTTGTCCTTGTATCTTGTAGGAAGCAGTGAGAAATCTGGTTCAGTCTCCAAAGTACAGTTTTTCTACAAATAGCTCATTTGTTCAGCAAGGGCCTGAGGCCACTGCACAGAACAAACTGCAGAGGAACGAATATACAGACAGGTTGTGTTACAGCTTCAAGCCTTCCCTTTGACCCCACCTTTAAAACAAACTTTCTCTCGTCTTCCTGCTTTCCCATTTTCTACATCAGTGACTTCTCACTGTACCTGTCTTTGTGTAATAACTTCTTTGAAAAAAAAAATGCAAGCAAACTTTGCATGTTTAATCTCATTCTTCTTACCTCACCGACTGGCATCTTATTGATTTCCTTGTCCAAGAAGTCATGTTCAGACTCGGTTCCTCTACAGTCGATCTTGTTTGTTTTTATTTATCAACTACCTAGCAACACAGTCTTTAAGAGAACCCTCCTTAACAATTGGTATCCCACATGCATTTCTACCATATTATGTAGACTTTTCCAGCTCCGCACAAACTTCTTTTCCTTTCAAACCAGCGGTAATTAATCATCTCAAAAGGTGAGAAAGTACCAGGGAAAATCCAACTCATGGAAAATTTACTTCTAGGTGTTTTTCCTTGTCTTATCTCCAAAGAGTTAGACTTTTGTTGTCTTGAAAGGTGCAAAAGTTTCAGTGAAGGAGAGTTAGATTGCAGCTGGCCACACTTGAGTCATAGCCTTCAACTTGGGTGGGCTAACATTAGCTTCAACGTGTTTCCTAAACGTGTGAGGTTGCGAGGCCGAGACACAGGAAGAATTTTCTGTGACCCTTTGTCCAAGAGTGAACTTTATTAAATTACTGAATCTGATGTGGGAGAAGAGTGTAAAAATAAGAAGTCTTCTCAGCTTAAAATGCTTGAATTATACAAAATATTACTCCTGACAATGTGATAGAAAATGTTGTAGAATTATTTTTCATATCTTAGAAAATCAAGACTGGAGGATGCTTTTGGGCTGTAGAAATGAATTCTGAACTAAACTTTGGACATGTCAGTAACTTAAGTTATGAAACATTCTATGGTGGTAGTGGACAAAATTATGACCAAGAGTTTGGTAATGTAGCTTCATTTTTAAAAATATTCATTTATTTTTATGAAAGGCAGAGAGAGAGAGAGAGAGAGAGAGAGAGAGGGAAAACTCATCTACTGGTTCACACCTGGAGTGCCCGCAATGACTAGGCCTGAACTGGGCTAGGCCAAGGCCAGAAGCCAGGAACTTAATCGGGGTGACAGAAGGGCAACTTCTTGAGCCATCACCTATTACCTCAAGAGTCCCCTTAAATAGGAAACTGGACTCAAGAGCAGATTCAACACTCAAACACAGGCGCTCCAAATGGCTAAACTTCCACTCCTGGCTTCATCTTTAGTGCATTTTGGCAAGTTGTGTTTAAACAGGTCTTGATATTATACTCTTTAAATGCCAGATGTTTTCCCTCCTTGTACAAGTAGGACTATCAGTTATGGAAATGAGCTCATATTGGTATTGGCACCAGCAGAATGCTTGCTGAAACATGGATTTGGGGTGAAAAATGTGACTCTTCATTTATCCTGTCCATGTACAGCTTTGCTTTTATTTTCCTACCTCTACCTGCCAATTGTTGTTTCTCTTTTTAGTTTCTATCTTTTGCTACCCCAAATTCCTTTCCTTAGATTCTACATGCCATTGTTTTTATTTTTCAAGTGAAGGTTCTAGGAGACAGAGGGGAGTGACTGTTGGTGGATAGGGGTTTCTTTGCGGATGATGAAAATGTTCCAAAACTGATTTTGGGGACACCTATGCAACTCTGTGAATGCTCCCCCAAATCCCACTGAGTTTACTCTTTAAATATATGAATTCTACATCAATGAAGCTGTCATTTCTTTAAAAAGTCTAGTGTTATTTAGAGCTTTACATTTCGGAAGTTTTCCAGAAGACGTTGTCCAGCTCTGCCTAACTACATTGCTGTGTTAAGGCCATCATGAAATCAGGTTGACATTTCTGATCTTTTCCAAGTCCTGTATATTTTATTAAGTCTTGGCTGGGGCACTCTTATAGTTGAAATCAGTGACTTGTGGCACATTACCCTTCAGACCAAAAGATGATGGTTTCTCTTAACATTTTGCCTTATTTAGAGTGGATTTTACCTATTGACTTAATAATTTCTTTCTCCTAATCTGAAAAATCGATGTTAGAAATTTCATGTTGAAAATCTTGAGTGCTATTTTCTTTGCTCGAAACTTTATGTATATATACTACTCTCTCTAAAAAAATAATTGAAGCTGACATGTATGTTCATATCCTCATGAATCTGCTAAGGCAACGGCCCTTGCCTGAGTGACTTCATCTGCAACTGTTCAAACACAACCCTTTCTTCAATGCCTTGCTCAAGTCTAACAACTTCACAGAACTTTTCATGTATTCTCAAGCCCACTTCCTTCCAAGTTACTAAATATTTAGAGTTTTCATCAGCATAGCCATGACATGGCAAAAAAAAAATATTTAACTTCAACTTACTAACTTCGCCAGTACATAGTCTGTATGTCATGTGACTTAAATCTTTTGAAAAATAAAGTTAACTGGGGCCGGTGCTGTGGCATAGCAGATAAAGCTGCCACCTACAGTGCCGGCATCCCACATGGGTGCTGGTTCAAGATATGGCTGTTCCACTTCCAATCTAGCTCTCTGCAATGGCCTGGGAAAGCAGCGGAAGATAGTCCAAGTCCTTGGGCGTCTGCACCCACATGGGAGACCCAGAGGAAGCTCCTGGCTCCAGGTTCCTGGCTCCTGGCTTTGGATCGGATCAGTTCTGGCTGTTGTGGCCATTTGGGGAGTGAACCAGCAGAGGGAATATCTCTCTCTCTCTCCCTCTGCTTTTCTGTAACTCTGCCTTCCAAATAAATAAGCAAATCTTAAAAAAAAAAAATAAAGATAACTACCCTTCATTGACTGAATTGAATTGCCCCCTGAACTAGATGGCTGAAGTTCATATTTGAACAACACAACCACAGTTAGAATAACACATTGAAGTTCTGTTTCACACCTTCTCCACTTACGAAGGGGTCTTCAAGAAATTCATGAAAAATGTGTGTTAGAAAAAACTGTGCCTGAATTTCAAAATTTTTTTCCATCAAAATAAACTTATCTTTTAATTTCATTTTTCTGTAAACTTTTTGAAGTAACTCAGACATCATCTCATCCCTTGTCAAAAGTAACTGCCATTGACGTTTGGTGAATCTTTTGCCACATACATATGGATATGTCATTAAATCGAGAATCAGGGTCATATTCTATTCATTTTTTATTTGTTTATTTGCAAGTCAGAGAGAGAGAGAGAGAGAGAGGTCTTCCATCTGCTGATTCACTCCCCCAAATACCTTCAGCAGCTGGGGCTGGGCCAGGCAAATGGGAGAGCTAGGAACTCAATGCAGGTCTCCCATATGGGTGGAAGGGACCTAAGTACTTGAGCCATCACCTGCTTCCACCTAGGATGCATATTAACAGGAAGTTGGCATCCGGATTGGAGCTTGAACTTGAACCCAGGCACTCCCACTTGGTATGGGATGTGGGTATTTCAATCAGCAACCCCACTGCTGCACCAAGTGCCCACCCCCAGCAATGCACTTAGGTGTCATCGTCTTCTGAATTTATTATCTCTATCTCTTATTTGATTCATAATGAAAATGTTTAGTAGCATCAGTTACATTGATGCTTTCTGTTTTGTTTGACTTTTCATGCATATTTGTCAAAGTCTACACTGCTTTTATTCACTGAGCAGGAATCTATTGAGGGCTGAAGTGAGCTGGATACTGCATAGGCCTTGAGATCAGAGATAAACAAAATCAAAAGTTCTTTGTCTTCAAGAAGTTGACACTTTAACAATGGATTGGAATATTAAACAATATTAAATTAATTAATATGATAATAAATGCCCACCAAGATTTTGAAGAGTAAAATATTGCATCCCTCTGAGATGCAATATTATGTGGATAACATGCCACCCCTCTGGGCAGGTAACATTTCAGGTGAATCTAAATGATGGGGAGAAAACCAGACAGGGGTAGACTTGGGGCAAGGGCACCATAGGCAGAGGGAACCTGTAGGGTTAAAGTCTGGTATTGCTGGAGCAGAGCAAAAGAGGACAGGGTTTGGATCAAGCAGGGATTCTATAGCAATGTACCACAGTTGATTTTTGTTGTAATTGCAATGGGCAGTTACTAGAAGATCTTAAGTAGGGTGTGATTATGCTTTGATTTCTGGTTTCAAACAACATCAGAGACTAATTAGTGGCAGTTATAATATTTTATATTTATTTATATATTATGGTATTATTTATATATAAGATGTAGTTGATTTTGGAGGAATAGCCTAATGTGTGTGACTTATTTTTCCTGTGCAGAAAATGTACGTGTTGTTGAATGAATGAATGTTCAGAGATCATTTGGAGAATGATATCTAAGCAAAAACAAAAGGCCAATGATTTATTGACTGGTGATGACCTCTCTCTGTCTCTTTCTTGCTTGCTGCTTTCTTTGCATTTTAAGAATTTGTTTTGGCCGGCGCCATGGCTCACTAGGCTAATCCTCTGCCTGCAGCATCGGCACCCCGGGTTCTAGTCCCGGTTGGGGCTCCGGTTCTGTCCTGGTTGCTCCTCTCCCAGTCCAGCTCTCCGCTGTGGCCCGGGAAGGCAGTGGAGGATGGCTCAAGTGCTTGGGCCCTGCACCCGCATGGGAGACCAGGAGGAAGCACCTGGCTCCTGGCTTCAGTTTGGTGCAGCGCGCCAGCCATAGCAGCCATTTGGGGGGGTGAACCAACAGAAGGAAGACCTTTCTTTTTTTTTTTTTTTTTTTTTCCTGCAGGTCTCAGAGCGGTGCATGGGGTTGATCTCACGGTCGCGAGACTCAAACGAAAGATGGTGACTGCTGCTCATCACGGACCTATGGAAGACCTTTCTCTCTGTCTCTCTCTCACATTAATTCTGCCTGTCAAAAAAAAAAAAAAAAAGAATGTTTTAATGTCACAAAAGTAAAACAATGTGACACACACAAGCACACACACAAAAAAACACTCAAAACCAGAAACCTATAGAGTGAGTCTTCCTCCCTCATCCAGGCCAACCTTACAGGGGCAAACAAGGTCAGCAGGTATAGGTTCTTCCATACCTTTTCCTATACTTATGCAAATAAGATCGTATGGTGATATGATGCTCCTCTCCTCTCCTCTCCTCTCCTCTCCTCTCCTCTCCTCTCCTCTCCTCTCCTCTCCTCTCCTCTCTCCCTCCCCTCCCCTTCCCTTCCCTTCCCTTCCCTTCCCTTCCCTTCCCTTCCCTTCCCTTCCCATTTCTTTTACAATAAAAAGGTATTATGGCTTTGTTTGTAAATACAGTTCTGTAAATCACTCATTCAACTCATGCACTTACTCATTCTAGTACTGAGCCACTATAGAGATCATCTGCTGTACGTCAGATCCTGTGTTGGGCCCCAGAGCTCTTGTATGGGATTCCCTGCAGGGTTTCCTAGTTTGGCCTGAGGGAGAGGACATTTC